AAGTTAATAACGCACATCCCTAATATTTATTTTAACGTTCTCCGAATCAGAATTCTCCTGGAAGCTCAGCGTCTCCTACAGTAGCTTTACGTCAAAGACTTTTTTTTTTTCCCACATAATACGATCAACTGTAGTATGTTAGTCCTCGCAGCCTTACAGCGCACCACATCAGCCTAATTAAAGCCCAAAGATGTTGTGACAGTCTCTTCCTACTCGGTTTTATTTATCCAGCGTTGCTGTCATGCATCTTTGATGCGTTAATGATGCACCTGAACTTTGTCTACCTCCCTTTACATCGACAGCATCCGTCAGTAGACGAGAAGACAAAGTAACAATTTTAAAAACCACAGTAATCATGAAATGCACATGAATTTTCCCGGTCGTTCTTCCTGGTGTTTGGGTTCGTGTTCGGGGTTCCTGTGCTTTAACGTTACATCTTTGCATCATTTCCACCAACTGCTTTACCAGTTGATTGTTCTCGCTGTATAATGAGCCAAATTGCATGACAGGCCACCAGTGTAACAAAAGGCTTGTCTTCTCATTATGTACATTACACCTACTGTAATGTGACAGAGGATGGGATGCATCCAGTCAATTAGGCATGAATATAAATCTTCAAGCCATATTTAAATAAAGAGACGGAGAAAAGCATGTTCTCTCATGTCACGGGCGACATGTTTCTCCAGCTCCACATCATTAGCCTGCGATGCAGGACTTCTAGTTCTGACTCACTACTGAACGTGCTGCCTGACTCTGGCCGTATAAGCGAAATAATTGCTCTTTCTTCCAAAGCTGACTAATATGTGTATATATGTGCTTTAAATGTGTTAGCCTATATATGTGTGGACATGGTCCAGTGCACGGCCTGTCCAAAGAGTCCATGTCCAAAGAGTTCTACTGACCCAGAAAATTGCGAAACAAGCGTTGAGGTGCAATTTAGGTGAATTCCATTTCACCACAACAGAAACCGTCTTCAGTGAAGCAAAGTCTCGATCGTCAATCAGCTCTGTATATAAGTGTTTCCCTTAACTTTTTTTCTGGCGGACCCATAATTTCAAGTCACAAACCTTCGTGACCCAAGTCAACAGACATTACTCGTAAACTCCTGGGAAACAATGCGAGACGACCCAAAAAGAAAATCTCTTGCGACCCACCTGAGGATTGTGATTGGGAAACAATGCTATATATATCGTGCAAAGTTGAGTTGCAGACAACGCGGATAGGTGATACCAGGATTTTTGTTTCAATACATTACTGCATTAATTAATTAGTATCGATACTTAATGAGAGTAATCAATGCTCAATCGATGCTCATGTGGGTGTCGATATTTATATAAACCACAGAATCGATACTCCCATCAATAGCGGTTGTGACTTTTGCGTCTTCAGCACTGACGTGATCGTGATGCAGCAGCTGTAATTCCGCATGGAACGGTTTCCTGTTTTTCGGAAAATACGACATTTAAGACTGGCCGCCTTTTATGTCGGTCGAGGATAGAGGACGGGTTGTCGTCATTTTAAAAAAAATTCCGCATGGAACGGTTTCCTGTTTTTCCGAAAGTACGAGATTTAAGACTGGCCGCCTTTTACGTCGGTCGAGGATAGAGGAGGGGTTGTCGTTGTTTTTAAAAATTTTAAATCTCTATATAACCCCGCTTAGATCGACCAATTGTGTCCAAGCTGAACATGGCGTGTTCATCGGAGTGACCAGTTGCCAGGCAGCTGCATACTGTAGTGTGTAAGTGTGTGTTTGTGTGTGTGTGGCTGGTGTGTGTGACCTCTAAGAGTCCAGAACACAGCAAGAGGTCGAACAAGACAGATGTGAGAACCTGTCCTATGACAAGAACCCCCATCACAGCCCCCGTGATGTCAGCACCGCCCTCCCTGCGTGACTCGGGGGTGACCTCACAGTGTGCCGCTCTGTTTGTGTGCCTGAAAGTGTTGAGCGAGTCCGTCTGTGTGTGCGTTCCGAGGCTACGAAGAGTTCGGGAAACCACGGCACCCTGAGGTGCATCGAACTAAAGAAACACAATGAACCGACAGGACTGAAGTCGACCTGTGAATTTGTTTACATGTGACAGTTCTGCATGTGCACGTGAGCGTGTGATTTCATACGTGCACGTGAGCCATGTGGGAGGCAGGAAAGGTCAACTGCATGTGTGACATTATCACTTCAGTGCAGTATGTCCACCTGAAACAGGAAGTGACTTCCGCCTCGTGTCGTCTGGAAGACAAGGTCATATTTTTACATTTATATTCACAGGATGTTTATTTATTCCGCGGGGTCACGTCATTGTCAGCATAATAGCTGTGTATTTTATAGACTTTTGACTACGTTGTTCGCCTCGTGCAGGATTTGCTTTATGCCGTCACAGCGCCCCGGTGTTACCATTAAAACATGACACGTCACAACAACGACCCCGCGGACCTCGATAAAATCAAGGACAGAATCAACGCAGCCATGCATCATTCACAGTACGTCTTGTGGCGTTATGATATTTTTTAATGATACTTTTAAAGAAAAAGGTTGAAGTTTTCCACATTTGAAATGATGATTAAATCTGGCAAAAACTTTAAAATCAAAAACTAAAAATGAGGACAAATTTTTAATCATCTCTGGTTTGATGATTTACTTGAACGTATGTTTAACAGGCACTGATTTGTCAGCACTGATACTTGGCGTTGACAGTCTATTGTTCCTTTCATTTGTCTCTGAATGCTTCAATGATTCCCTTTAATTTATCAAACCAATCCTGTTAAGTAGAAAATAAAATCTCAACATTTTTCTTCAGTTGTCAGGAATTTTATTACATTTAAGGCCAGGCTTTAACATCGTCGTCTCCCACCATTTAATGAGCCTTTGTGAAAAATAAATGCTATTGTTTCGAAGAACAAAGGCAAAATCAGAAACACAAGATCCGCGGCATGTGTCGGCAACTCAGCCCGTCGTCAAAGCAATTGTGGCGCTTGGATTTTCTGTTGCTCCTCATCCTGTCACTTCAAGAATATAGATACACCCAGCTGCTCACACTGGTTATCTTTATATGGCATTTAAAAACAAAGTCACCTTCAGGTGGCGTTGAACCAATGACACATTTACTCCTGCACTGAAACACACACACACACACACACACGTGGGGTGTGAAGAAGTCCCGGCAGCAGCCACTGGGATGATTAAAAGAGAGGAGCATGTGCGTTCTGCTGTGAAACGCTGTGTGTTGCTGTAGTTTATTTACAAGGCTGCATGGTTGAATCTCAATTAAAATAAGAAATGGATTTTCTTTAATGGAAATTAAAAAGGACTTGGTTCACAGACCAGACAAAGTGACTTTGTTATCCATCTCATGGTGGAAGTTTTGACGACGCTAAATATTAAGCAACATTAAATTTCCCGTGGAGCTTATTTTAAAATCTCCTCCTGCAGCTGTGGTTACATCAGCTATCGAAGAAGAAACTTTATTAGTCTTAATAGTTCTCCCTTCATCTGCACTCATTTTCTAAGTAAAGTTTCTAAACCCTGACTCATAGGGGATCCATATGGGCGTATACGTGCGTGGTGGTGGGGCACGTGCACGTGCACACGGGCGTGCACAGTCTTCGGGGAGACAGATGGGACAGACCTCCACCACCTCGCACTACTTTCTCTCTGCATGACTTCTCACCAGAGTCTGAACGTTGTATTAGCGCCAGTGTCTCTCTCTCTCTCTCTCTCTCTCACACACACACACACACACACACTGGAGCCCATGTGACGACGGCTACTGTTTCATTAATCATCTGTATCTGTGTAAATTAGGCATGAAAAAGAGTATTTGGAGCAGAAAGCCGTGGACACGCCGTCCTCTGCTCCGTTCTGTAGCAGCACCGCGGCTGGTGGAGTGAAGTTAACCAGCTTCTCTCCTGCTGGTTTTGGCTGCACCCGTCCCACTGCGGTTGAACTGACACCTGTACAGGTAGAGCTGGGGTCACCAGTTATGACCAGCTTGTCGTAGGGCCAGAATTTTTTCTGGACAGACACCTCGGGGACCGGACACTTAAATAAAATGGAATAATAATCACATAAAAAGAGTCAAATATGGAATCCAGTCGCGGGCCAGATTGGGTGGTTTGGAGGGCCAGATTTGGCCCACGGGCCGTCAGTTTCTTGTCATTGATTATATAATGATTATAAATTGAGTATTGATTGTTATACATTGGACAGACACCTCAAATAAAATTGAAATAAAAATCAAATAAATATATATATATAGTGTGGATTACTGATCACAGTTTACAGTTATTTAAGTCTCAGTTTTCAGGGTTTTTTTCAGTGTTTTTTTTAGATCGGAACACAATATTTTCGTTTAATTTTGGATGGCTTGGCAGGCCAGATCTGGGCCACGTGCCGCCGGTTTGTAATCACTGATGTAGACTGTTTTATTTTCGGTACATACATATATTTTCTGTTGGATTGAAAAAGCATATTTTTTTCTCTGATGTTTTCACCTTTTTTCCACACACTTTTTTTTTCAAACGCTTTTTTTTTATTTATTTTTTTTAGCGTCCACAACACAAACTGCGCTCTGAATGCACACTAATCTTCTCAGTCATCCAGGTCAAGGTTGTGTGAGAGGCCGTGTTTGGTGGGAAAAAAACTTGGAGATATATTAGCTCTCATCCTGGGTGACAGTTTTTACTCCACTCTCCACTGTGTTGGTTTCACGTCTGATGCCCTCCATTATTTATCTGTGTCAGCAGCATTAAGAGACTTTTCTAACGCTGTCTTGCCCCAAAGATTAACAATTCACCGAGAGGCTTATTAAAGCAATTCATCAAATCAGTGGGCAGCGCTGATTAAATCAATTTGGTAATAAATGGAATGATATAAAGTCTTCAGGATCACCTGGAGTCCTCGCAGCCCACCTGCCCAATTAGGAGGCAATTTATCCCGCAGCTTTCCACAGGGCCTCAGACGTTAATTAAAGTAAAACGTGGATGTCACTCTGTTTGGCTGATTGCAGAAACCGCACGTTCTCGATGAAGAATTCTTCGGGAGAGAGTTCACCTTTCATGATGGGGAAACTATGGGACCCGTTGGCGCAGATGGACCAGAAGAAGCTCTGCCCTGATGAAACGTTCGGTAAGTCCCTAAATAATTGATCTCCCCGTCAGACTAATTTATCGACTGCGGCCCACATTATAGACTGCAGTACACATGTGATAAATGCGTTAACTATCGTGCTGCAAATTCTATGACAACCGCTCTCCATCTTCGCGCCGCAGTCACTGACAGTGCTGCACCAACTTTTCGAGAAAGTTTGATAAAAAACAAAAATGTTCAGTTTCGTCTTAAGATCTGCATCGTTCTCCTCACGTATAACACAAGTCAAAATGCAATATACGGCATATATTTTATTTATTATATTTTGACATTTTTTTAATCAAACCATATATTTTATTTATTATATTTTGACATTATATTTTTTTAATCAAGCAGTTTTAAATCATAATTATTTTAAGCTCAACAACTTTTTCATTAAGTTCAGTGTCTGAGCTAATTTCCCTCCCGTGGCCTCGGTGTGTATTTGTTTAGGCAGGTTTACTTTGCGTATTTGATAAAGGTCACACAATACAAAGATAAAAACGCAGTAACTGACAGTTTTGTACAGTAATGAGAAAAAGTCACTCTTTCTTCAGAATGGCTAAATGATCAGATTTATCCTTGGAAACCACAGGAAAATATATTTGTATTTTATTTTTCTCATTGAATGTTGTATGGACTTGAAAGTTTAATCTTTGTAAAAAACTATCTAGAAAAGTCTAATTTTTGTGGTTTTACTGTGGGGTTTTTACCAGTTTTCCCAGGAAAGGGAGGACGAACTTTGTTAATGTTTTCAAACTTCACTCTAACACGTAGAAAAACAAATTTCCCTGCTGTAGCCCCGCCATCTGTTTTATTTCATGAGTTTCAAGCATCAGTTTTTTCCAGCAGTAACTTACAGTGAAGGACAGTACCGTAAAAAGTAAAAAGAAAAAATCTACATTTTTCGCTACATTTTTTTCTATGGAAACAATTCAAATTATGTTTGTTTTGCAAAATAGCTCTTTGGAAAAGATCATTATTTGCCCAATGTGCATTCAAAAAACCTATGCAAAAACAAATCCCCCGCCGCAGCCTCGGCATCTGTGCGTTTCCTGTGAGTTTACTTTGTGCCTTTGATAAAGGTCACACAATTTGTGCTCTGTTTACCAGACGACAGTCCCACGGATTCACACATGCTGCGTGGAGACGCTTGGTTTTCTATTCATTCTACTTCATTTACCACACAATCAAGCACTAAACTGGCTAAATAAGAAGTTGCCTCCTGTGTGCATGTAGATGAGTCGGCCAACGGTGGCGCGCTGCAGCTAATGTACACACTGTTATGTATCTGTCTACGTGCCTCCTGGTCGGGTGCGTGTTTAGTGTGTTTGCTGAATTTCCGTTCAGTTCCTGTCTGCTTGTGATTGTGCAGCAAGTATGGGAGAAAATAAAAGTGGTAAATTTGGAAGGGAGGCAGCTCTCAGCAAGCGTCAATTAGGTATAAACTTGTCTCAGGAATGACCGGTGAACCAGGGAGGAGGGAGTTGGCTGTCGGAGGGGAGAGAAGCATCCATTATCTGGCAGCTAATTATCCAACCACTGCCATTTCTATCTTGCAGATACTTATGTGATTAAAGGGTTGGGTCAATCAAATAGATAATGGGGATTAGAAGTGAAGGAGACCGCACGCAGCTGAGTTCTGTCTGGTGAATGCAGGATGGAAGGAACTGGAACATTCTGGTCCAATGTGTCACTCTTGTTGCAGTTTTTTTTCCGGTTGTTGTGAACACAGGCCAAATGGCAATTCAAAGACTTTGTCGACTGTTCCACTGATCTTCAGTTAGACGTTGTTTAGTTTCACCTACATTAGCAGAAACGCTCATTGCAAAACTTCACAGTTTTCTCTGTCCTCTGTAACTAAGAATACTTTATTTACTTTTCAGTTGAAGTTCTTTGCATATATATACATATATACATTATATAAACATGTACATATATTACAATATATACACATGTGTGTATATATTTGTATATATACAATATATTTGTATATATACACATTTGTGTTTGTATATATATATGTCTATATACAGTATATGTATGTACATGTATATATAAGTGAATATATGTCCATAGTTATGTATCCAAGCGTGTATGTGTATATGTGTGTATGTATATATGGGGCAGAACTCAGATCCTCCTTTGAGTTAAATGGCTGTGAAAACGTCTTATTTTTCTGTTAGCAAGCAAGTTGCAAATTCCTCCTGTGGGCGAAGTAACTTCTTAAAATGAAAAAAACATTAGACAGTATGTTGTTTTTGGAGTTCATGGTTGAAGATTTATCTGACTGAGTTTACTCGTACTTGGGTTTTGTTAAGACGTTCTTGTGAGGGTCAGTAATATTGGTTTTAATTTTAAAGACCTTTTAAAGTCCTCTTACATGAGACAGATGAGCTTGTGTTAACACACACTCACACAGACTGACAGACGTTCATGAGGTCCAGTGTAACTGTATTTGTCTGAAAGACAGATCCTCTGTGATCACTCTCCATCCCTCCGAGGCTGATTTAATCTCAGCTCAGCAGGGAGGCTCTTTGATTGGCTCATCCCCGGAGGGCAGTAGCCAGTAGTGACCAGTAAAGGTCAGGGCGAACCTCGGATGATGTGACAGACGACCAAGACATCAGTCTCATACTGTAAACATGAGAGCCTGAAATATTAATGAATGATGTCATCCTTCATACACACACAGAGAGGAAATATATTTGTTTTTGCTGGAGGGACTTCAACAATGTGTCCTGGGGAGAAGTGTGTGGTGAGACAAATGTGAACAGTCAACGGGGGAGGAGACGTCTCCGATACGTAACACAACACTTACCCCGTAGGACACTAATGGAGACATTCAGCTCCACTGTGAGCCAGCGGGGACAGTTATTGTTTATCTCATTTATAAATGTATCAACTTTAGACCCGCATAAATTGAAATTTACTGACACCTGAAAAAAAAAAGTATAATGAAGTCATTTCTTTTTTTTTTTTATCACCGGTCTCTGAATTAAACATTGTATTTTTTAAAAACAAAAAATATTGTTGCAATCCTGCTGTCCTATTACATAATAATAATAATAATAATATTCACACTAATTTCAGTCCATTATTGTTAACTTTCTTAAATAACTTTCATTCAGTAAAGTCACTTTGTAACTTCAAAACCTTGTATGAATATAATTAAATATTTACAGTTCTTCCTTAATTTGTTTAAAATAGAAAACATTGTAATAACGAAATTAAAAGTCGCTCAAACTTCCCCTCTCCATTACCACAAAGTCAATATTAATTTTCTGACAGGACAGTGTTTGCTAATCAATATAATCCATATATCACTACATATATATATATATATATATATATATATAAATATATATATATATATGTAATGATATTCTCATT